GAAGAGGGGGAGAAAAAGAGATCTCCGTCCTCCGTGTTTTATTATATAGAGTCGTTATTCATTTGTTTTAAAGCTCAATAAATAACAAAGAAGACCTTTGACCGGCACTTTTCTAATTTTGTCCGGAAGATTTAAACTTTAACGGACATCTTGAGCGGCGAAACAAACTGAAACTCTGCCGCACGGTCCCCTCGTTCCTTGGAAGAGGCGGAGAGGTGGGTGTTTGTCATCTGCTGGTGGACTAACCGGAGAGAATTACAGTGCTTGCCTCGACGGGGAGGGATTGCATTGCAGCGGGAGCAAACGCTTCCCTCAGCTAAAATCTTGACTAGGGCAGAAAATTGTTCAGGGCCTGCTCAAACCAACTACAAACTACTACCGGGGATTGGGCAGAGAAGGAGTCCGAGAAAGTTGCTCCCCCATGTGACGTAATATGACGCATTTGACGTATGACATTTAAAAAAATGAGTTTTTAGTAGCAGAGCTCAAAACGGCTCCTTTCCCCTCTGAATTCCTGCCCTTATGTCTCGTAAAACATATCAAATCCTGCATTAACTTTTTTAATTGTAATTTTCAGGCAAGGTTCAGGCATAAATCTAGTAAAAAAAAAAAACCTGCAATTTGCTCTTTAAAGGTGGGGTAGGTAAGTTTGAGAAACCGGCTCGAGATCGCTAGAATTTGAAAATACACAACCGGAGAAAATCTGCCACTTCCTTATAGAGCCCCTCCTCCAACACACACGAACGCGCACATGACCAATGAGGGCACGAGATAAGTTTGTGCACAGACGGAAGGCTGACAGGCAGGTAGGCCATCCAGTTATTTTAGCCGGGCCGGCTAAAATGATTGGTCGTACTTTTTACAGTATAAAGGCCCAGACACACCAGGCCGTCACCAGAGAACTCGCCGACACCGTCACCGACAGTTGCATCGGCGAGTTCTCCTGCGTCTTGGCCATGTGTCGCACTGGAACACACCGCAAAGACTTCAGCCGAGCACGTACGAACTGCGCATGCGTGAGTGGCAATAACTCTCCTTACCAGCAGGCGGCGGTAGTGTGTATTCGTCATTCAAAATAGGCAACAACCGGAAGACAGAGAAGAAGAACAGACTGATATAAACAAACAACAAATAGCGTGTGCGTTCCATTATCACTCTCGTCCATCGAAAACATGTTTTAGAATATAAAAATACATGAATGATGAAATGAGCACATAAAGTGCAGACATACTATAACATCACAGTTAATAAACCTGCATCTGATGATCGCAGTGTTCTGGCGGGTGTGTAGTTTATTGAGTCAGCAATGTAGTAATGTATGTAATGTAATAATGGCCACTTCTTGCTAAATTTACATTTCCATGTGATGCTTTTATCCGAGGCGACTCACAATAGGTAAATGAACAGCAGTAGACAGTATCTCATTTACTTAGACACTGTACTTAAGGACAATGTTGAGGTACTTGAGACTAATCCTGCAACTTTATACTGACAAATAAACCGATGAGATGAAAAACCGGACTTGACCAAACAAATCACGGAGCTCTCAGCAGAGGACAGCCGGGGACGCTCCCGCCGATATCAGAGATGTCCCTGCTATGTGTGGGAGGTAAGAGAGGACATTTAAGGGCTATGTTTGATGTCTTTAAGTATCACCTGCTGGGGTTGCTGTCCTGTGCCTTCTTAAATCGTTTGTTTACGTCCCTCACTTCCGTTTCGCTTCTCATTTGCTAGCTGAACAGCTGATCAGAGTGGTTTCTTGGCCCGATAGCTTGTGTCGACCGTGAAAGGCCAAATAAGGCGTGTCACGGCCGAGCGTTCGGGACACACCAAATTTGACTTTGGGCGACAGGGCACGCTTCGTCGCCAGACAACCGAAGACGGCCGATATCGGCCTGGTGTGTCTGGGCCTTTACGGCTTCCACAGATGACATTTTTTTATGGATTTTTTGTCAAAGCACTTAAGATATTCATTGCTATCGGGATGTTAAGAGCATTCCATGGAATATAACAAAAAGTGTATCTCGAGCCAGTTTCTCAAACTTACCTACCCCACCTTTAAGTATTTATTTAACTGGGGCCATGAACAAAAATAAAATCTTAAAGTAAGATGTTTCATGACAGATTTAACTCATTTCTACCTATACTGTAGTTGCTGTGTAGGTAATGACATGCATCACCCTTTAGTCTCTATGACACAGACAAATCTGCAAATACATCAACATAAATGCCAGTACAATCATACAATACAAATGGCAACCCTTAAAGCTCCCATGTCATGCTTTTCCGGTTATTACCTGTCCCCTTGTGTGTTATGAAGGTTTTTATGCATGTAAACGGTGTGCAGAGTCAAAACCCTGAAAGTACACCCTGTAGCGAGTAAAACTCTAACACAGAAAATACCTCCCCAAAACGCCTCGTTGGAGATACGTCACTGCCCATTTGATTCTTCCGGGTACCGCCTGATGTCATGCGGTACCCGGAACGAAATGGACCAATCCCGAAGAGCTATGGCCACACCAGCAGCGGCGTGTTCCTCCAGAGGTTCGAAGAACCGGCATTTCACAGACGAAAGCTTCCAAAACATTGCCCAGTTTGAGGCCGGATATGCACAGCTTGTTTGGACCGTTTGGAGCAGGGGAAGATCCGGGTACACAACCTGTAAGTTTGCATTGTTATTTGTGTATTTATCAAACAAGACTGTTTAAATGTGTAAACTGTGTTGGACTGCTAAGCCATTGACACAGTGCTAACTGTGCTAACTAAGTTGCTAGAGTTTCCATATATCAACTCTAATATCAGCAGATGGCCTTGCATACATGTATCTCATAGCAGGAGAATGTCTGCATTCACATACAAAATACCTATTGACAGTATACTCCGGGTGATTTGCCGTGCGGTCAGTCGCGAAACGTAATTACATTATAGCTGGCGTAGCGTGTATGCAACCGATCTAACACACGGAGCTAGAGCTAGAGCTAGCTTTGGTCGGAAAAACATTTTTGTGATGCTACGTTGCTAGCGTTTAAATATATCAACTACAATGTCAGCAGATGGCCTTACATGTTTGTCATGGCAGGAGAATGTCTGCAGTCACACACACGGAATACTCATACAGTATACTCCGGGTGATTTACCGTACATTGTGACAGGACATATACTGCATGTATAGCTACGAGGCTAGCTGTATGCTAGCGCAAAACAATGTATTCATGACCGTTACAATGTATGACCGAACGTAGCAGACTACCCGTATAACATTGCAATTATAAACACGTTATTGCTAGCCTAATATGAACCACTAGCTTTTGTTCATAGTAGTTTTATTACTCTACATTATAGTTGCCGTTCCTCCGAGTTAACGTTAGCTACCAAGGTAAACAAAGCTAGGTTAGCATATTAGCTGACAAGCTGTTCATTAGATTGATTAGATAGATCCACACTCGGAAGGCCACAACGGAAAGACAAGGAGACATACACGAGTTTACAAAACCACGGCACATTTATTGTGGTAAATGCAGAGATACGTGGTCAGGGAAGAGGATTGCTGTGCTGCTTGGAGGGAGAGAGAGGCTGCCGTGTGACTCCCGGCAGCTGGCTAGCACCTCGGCTCCGGCCAGGTGTCCGTGATCGCGCTGATTAGCCTCTTCAGCTCCACCCCATCGTAAGACAAAGGCCCTGGGGCCGTCACACTCTTCTATAACAACAGTTAAAAATATATATATGTATATAAAATATACGCCATGATAAGACTGATGTTCGGCTGAGAGCAGCCGTTTAGACATGGGCGCAGCCTCTCTGGTGGTTGACTAATCAGAACAGAGTGGCCGAGCTGACCAATCGGAGCACACTAGGCTCACAGGGAGGGGGGGGCAAGAGCTCCAACGAGTCGTTTAGTGGAGAAAGTGAATACTGCTGAATACACATGCTTGACAGAGATGCTGTATGCGAAACCAATGTGAGTTTGGAAAATTGCACAGTATAAATCTATTTTAGTATACCTCAACAATGTAATTATGATCAGTGGAAATGGCCATGACATGGGCCCTTTAAAGGGGACCTATCATGCAAAATGCACTTTTGTACGTCTTTTATACATGAATATGTGTACCCGGTGTTCCAGGGAACTCACCAAGTGTCAGAAAACACAACCCTCTCTATTTTCCTCCATACCCAAATCTCAAAAAAAGGGGCTGCAACGGATCTGATAAAAACTGATCCAGATTTGAACACTGTCCTGACGTCAGGACGGTGGCGCTACGGCTATTGGGCCAACTCCACCAATCAGGAGGAGACAACCACGGCATTGCCGTTCGAAAGCGCTGGAGACGCTGTAGTACATATGCCAGGCCTCTAGATGGTGCTGTTGCTCACAGAATCAACCCTTGCAAAAACAGAGCTAACATTTTTCAAATTGAGTGAAATGAGGCATGGCTAAAATGCATGATCTGTTTGGTATTTTGAAAAAAAAAAGTATAAATATGCCTTATATAGGTATGGTCCTACACTATATTATTAAAATATAGCATGATAGGTCCACTTTAAATTACAATTTATTACATTTGAAGACCTGAACTTATGCCCGGTGAAATAATGTCGACATGCTTGCTTAAAATCAGTTTTTTGCAACATGGGAAAAAAAATGAATGTCTGTAAAAGTTTTAGGATAACAGTCCAATGGCTATACATCAAAAAGCAGATTTAAATAAATATAGAGATGGAGATGTGAGCATGGGAGGAATGGAGCTTAAAATACTGCAGTAAGCCAGAAATAAAAAGCAAGTACACACACAGCTAACAATGCAATATTTCTGGGAGGATAGAAGGTGTAGCCTACAGTGTACACCATGGTTAAGTCTAGACCTGCTATGTTTCAAATTGTGTTTGTTGTTTTTGTCTTCCATGTTTAAACATGTATTGCCGTAGTACACACTCTGGTCCAGTAGCTGACGGTACGCACATCCAACATTGGTTTGTGAGCTCCAGTTAACACGAAGAAGAAGAGCTACCTGCTGCAACAAGCCCCGTCTCCTCTCCACCCCGGCCGCAGTTAAATGGAGCCTCATGAACTCAGCATACTGTCCGCGAAGTTAAAAGAAACCTAGACAAACCCGAAGTAGAACATGGGCAGAAACTACCGTCTTGTTTTTTAAACAACACGTTAGCATGTTGTTTACGTGGCTTTATATTGACAGTTAACGTTAGCGGGGAAGCTAGCTAATGTTAGTTAGTTTGTTTGGCTAATTATTCCCGTGGGACGGCTGTCGAGTATCAACTAATGGAGATAACAGCTAAATTAATTAGCTTGGATTAGCGACGTTGCTTTGTAGCATAATATAGTAACTACTGGGCTTTATTGGCCGTTAGCAGTGGATCTGAGACTCTCATTGTTTACTCGTTTTCGCGGTATGGTTCTTCTGGTGGTTTTATGGGGCTTTCAAGGACCATGATGCCGTCTAAGCTCCAGCTGCTGGCTGTGTTGGCATTTGCGGTGGCGATGCTGCTCATAGAGAACCAGATCCAGAAACTGGAGGAGTCCAGAGCCAGACTCGGTAAGTCCAAAACAAAGACTTAGCTCACTTTGTTACCGTATTATTGTGCTTATGTTCTCCATCCATCTGTAGTGTCTTCACAGGGTATATATTCTACTTTTAATTGAATATGCTATTCCTTACACAAATAATGTAAATAATATCATACTTTTACATCTTGTTTGCTGTAATTGGCCCTTCATGGTGAATACTTGATAGATCGTCTTCATATATATTCACTGTCACTATGTATATATTTTAATTTTAGTTCTGTTTTATTTTCTATTTTGAGATGTTTCTATTTTATGTTTATTTATTTTCTACTCTTTCATTTGCACATGTTTACATGCTGATGTGACGAACAACGTTCCCAATTGAGATCAATAAACTCAATCTAATTTAAAGTGCTGCTGTTAAATATTGTTGTAGACGAAAATGTAATTGTCCAAAGAGTCGAGATACATCTAGAAAAATTGGGTGAAAGCAAAGTTCACACCAAAATAAAGTGTTTTAAGCAAACAAACAAAAATTACTTTTGTATACTCTTTATATAGCTACTTACTTTAAAACGTATTTCTACGACAGTAATTTTTTTTTCTTTTCTCCATTTTGCTTTGCAGGTATTTGAGAAAGAAACAGTTTGAGAAGCCACATGCTGCCATGTATTTTAAACATTTAATCTGCAATCAAACCATTAAATGAAATGAAATGATGTTGTTATTCATCTTGAAACACAGGTAGCAACAAAGCTTTATAGAGCACTCAATTTTGAGAGCAAATGGCTGTAAGTGAAGACCTATAGAATAAAAATATAAGTTGTGTTATTGTATGGTTCCCATATAGCCCACCCTGAGTACAAATATGGTCCTTTTCTGGTTAAAATTGCCGTTATTGATCCTGAAAATGTGATAAATTGATTCAACATCATCAATAACCCCCAAAATTGGCCAAGCCATTTTTAGACTATTGTCCACATTGGCTATAATGCAATTTAATGCTAATGAACACAATTTATGCTAATTGTGCCTATTGCCCAACATATGCAAGTTGGCATCCGGCAGTTTCTATGTGCTGGGGACCCGTACTATACATTTCTAACATAAAGCTTTGTTATACTCAACATTTCGGGGTTCACCATGCAGGGTTCAACTAGACTACTACTGTATAGAGAGGCAAAGTCCCGCCCATCTACTTCCGACCCATGGGACCTTATTTCGGAAAAATTACGTTTTGAAGTCAATGGGGAGAGAAAGATTATCTTTCGATCCCGTTTGAATTGTGCCACGAATTACACATATGATGTTTGTCAATCTTAAAAAATTATTTTCATGTAAAAAAAGTCACAGTTTGTCGTAAAACTGTTGAAATATAAGACTATGAAAAATACGCAACTAGAAAGACTACAAATCCCAGAATCCCGGTCCCGCATGCTGGCTCTTACGGAACCGACTAACTCCCCTTGTGTGTATGTCCAGCTCTCAACATGCCCAGACTTTTTTTTCACCTCTTTTAATACTTTTCGTCTCATTCTGAAAGAAAGAAGTGAAAAATGCGCACACGTGACGGCCATCTTGGTGCGAGACGGGAGATGTAGTTCATTGAGCGGTTTCACACAAAAAAAAGTGTTACTTCACAGTTTTCAACACATTTGTATTTTTTTAACTTGCAAAATTATCTTTTAAATTGGCAAACATCATATGTGTAATTCATGGCACAATTTAAACAGGATCGAAAGATAATCTTTCTCTCGCCATTGACTTCAATACATACTTTTTCCGAAATAAGGTCCCATGGAGCTCCCCCGGAAAGGGAGGGACTTCGCCTCTCTATAATGCCCTCAAGAAGTGCCAAATGCATCACAACAGACAGTCACGAGGCTCCTCTGTCCTCTCATGCCCCTTTCACACCAACGCAACTCCGGTTCAAGCTCCGTGCTAGAGCTTTTCTGGTTCAGAACCGGTTCTTCGGTTTAGCGCCGGCTCTTTTCACACCGCTCAGAGCCCGACTGGTGCTGCCGCTGCTGCGTCATGACGTCACAGTTTACGTCGCTGAGTTTCTCCCCAACGCCGGAGCTCACTTCACAACAACAACGGGCCGGGGACTGCGTTGCTTTTAATCATACGAAGCCAGATTAAATTAAATAACGACTTCTCCAACCTTATACTTTTCTCCAGAGTGCCGTGGTTCATTGTTTATTAATGTGTTTCAGCGGCATTTACCGACCGCTGCAGTGCTGGCCGGCTGCTCTTCAACGGGAGTGTATTCTCCCGTTAGCTCCGGGTTAGCTCACACGGCTCTAAAGTATTCACTGTCTGACTGTCACACAAGCAGCTGATACATATCCCCAGTTCCCCTTAAGTGAATGTGTGTCAGTCTGAATTGACGCTGTTTGGTGTCAGTCTGAATTGACGCTGTTTGGCATCACAACGCTGTTATGAAAGTTTCTCTGGTATAACATGGGTGATGTTAGCATAGCAACCGAAGCTAAACTGACTACTTGCTAAGCAGTTTTCTACAGGCACTTTTTACCGACGTATTTTTCATTATGATTCTACTTGTGATAGTCGGACATGACAACCTGTGCAGCCCATGTATTGATTCCATCCGATAGCTGCTATAATAACAAACAAAACGTCTGCCTGCTCTCCACAATGATCAATAACAGCGAACAGATGGTCAAAGTAAGGTACAAATAAACAGAATCACACGAAGCCTGGTTAGTGTTGCCTGACTTTATAAAGTGTGTTTTTTTTAACAAGTGTGTGGTTGCGTTCTAGTCACTTTGCTCAGCACTACTGCTTGTTACAACTTTTATTTGCCGTACTCGCCTTAAGTGTTAGCTCAGGTTAATCTCGCCCCCCTCCGACGTAAGCGTGACGTATGCGGTTCTTGCTTCTAGACGGACAACTTTTTGGTGCTCGAAACGAACCGGATTCCGGAGCTTAGAGGCTGCTCCGCTGCGGTGTGAACAGGAAAACCCGGTGCTTTTCAAGCACCAGCACCGAACCGGCCCTGAAACACCGTTGGTGTGAAAGGGGTATCAGTGTCAGACAGTGAAGGGCCGTCAGTACAAAGAGCCACACAGCTGATCAAACAGACACTCACAAGGCCCTTTCAGTAATTGTCTTCAATTAACATTGCAGTGGAGGGGGGGGGGGGCTCTTTTAATTATGTCTCCTCACAATATTATAATTGAAAGCTTAATTACTTGTTTCTATGTTATTGTATTTGAAGGACTTTGATGCATTTCTTAATTATGATTCAATTCTACAACTACTTGTTCATTCGCACAACAGATGTACCTTTTAATTTAATTGTTGTGTTTGTAGCCTGTCATCTGCTGTGTGTGCTGCTAAAATGAATATAACAATAAGCATCAACTGACTTTTGGCTCATTTAAATCCCATCATATTGATTCAGGTTAGAAACACTTGCCACAAATGAACATGTTATATATTGGTCCTTTTTAAAGGTTATAATCATTCATTTTAAATATCATAGTGTAGTGGAGATCCAGCACTCACACAACAGGAAAGAATGAAACAGAGAGGAGTCAATAAAACACAAACACAGATATAGCTGAGATTAATCATTATTATTTAGTTGCGCACCACCAAACAACAATGGGGAAACATTACCTTGCTTCAACAGCAACCAATCGCAGAAATGCTCCCACGAACACAAGAAAACACAGGGGAGATATAGGTTTTCTAAATGACACACGAACATGTTCCCTAATCATGTTTAACGCACACACATTGTCAGTTCTCCTAAACTTGGACATGTTCCAACCTTATACAGTCATACATGTTGCATCCTCTGAGTTCTACATGATCCCAGATTTCATGACCTTATTTAGCAGCTACCACACATGCCAATGTATACAACTGCTGCTGAAGAGTTTCAGCTGGTTGCCTATAGATGGGCCTCCTTCCAGCAAACCAAATGAACACCACACCGTCCACTATACTGTTGCTTAATACCATGTGACATTAATGAATATACCAGAAATACGCTGTGATAAACATTCTGCCATAACAATAGTTTGACGGCTTGTTTAGGATACAGTATACTCATTATTGTATGTCATTGTGTTGTCTACCATATTTCTTCCCTGATGATGATACATTGTTAACAACAAATCCATGTTGCAATCAGCAGGGGGAGAGTTAGCTAACGTTAGCTGGTACAGGGGTTCCATAGAGTTCAATTGTGGGGCCTTCAAGCTCAGTTCAGTGATAATTACTATTGGGCAATTGTAAATTACAACGTTATCATGATGGTTTCAATTTCAATCCTGTGAAGTTTAATTTGGCGAGAAAGTTACATTAAATTACAAGTTATTTAGCTGACACTATCCAAAGAGACCTATATACACTTACATACTGTAGATATGCCTATAAGAGCAATTTAGGATTAAGTATCTTGGACACTTTGATATGTTGACTGCATGGCTAGGGATCGAACCACTGACCAGTTTATTGGTAGACACTCATCTACCCCATGAGCCACAGCAGCACACAAATACAATAATCACAGTTGTTTGAGGAAGATGTTTTCAAAGCAATGTAAAATAAATATGAGAAGGGAAATTACGACCTGTTTAACTTCTGGACATCATGAACCAGTATGCAATAAATAAGGGTTTTTACCATGGTTTTGAATTGTAGAAGTTTTAATGGTAATGGTATGGAATAGGACTGGGCGATATGGCCTAAAAATAATATTGCAATAATTAAAGGCTATATCGCAATATTTTTAAATCCCTTTCCATAGCTATCACACCAGTATGAGATTATTAAATGAAGACATTAAGGGCTAATTATGATGCTCCAGACTGACCCTACTCCTGTGTATCTGTATCAAATAAAGGAATTATATAATAGTTACATTAAACTGGAAATCATTTACATCTTACAATATTAACACATGATATACACATCTTTTCAAATATCCAAACCTTTCCATTACTTTTCAAGGTGGCGTTTTTCAATGACCATTTCCTTGCAATCTAGGTAAAGAAAAGTGAAAAGCAACTACATGTGTTCCAGCTGAATACACATTATCCCACACGGTTATGGTCAAAATTATAATCACAATTATTCTGATACAGGCATCATGATTATGATTATTATGGGGAGAGCTTTGGGAGGAGCAAAACGCCAAAGCAAGTCTCATGCCCGGCGGCTTAATCATCATGAATTTATACTCTTTGCGTCATAGTCCTTTCATACATCGTTCGTTAAACAGTCTGTGATACATTGAGTATATTCTGAATATCGCCCAGCCCTAGTATGGTACTTCATTTCAGTTTTTGTGACTTCCCTGTACAGAAAGGACCATTGCCAGACACCAGCTGGCAGAAGTGGAGCAGCGACACAGTGAAGACTTGGGGAGGGAATCCCCCCCACTGGCAGAAAAAGACGACATGGTCATCATCTACAACAGAGTGCCCAAGACGGCCAGCACCTCCTTCACCAACATCGCCTACGACCTGTGTGGGAAGAACCGCTTCCACGTGCTGCACATCAACACCACCAAGAACAACCCCGTCATGTCCATACAGGACCAGGTGAGAGATTCTGCACACCGCTGTATCTACAGGAAGTCAATCAAGCAGATCACATTCAAAACATGATGGCTCATAGTTAGCACTGGACCAATTATTGTATTTGTGATTTAAAGCCTATATTGAGGTTTTAAAATAACCCTTTAATATCTACTGTTATCACCCTTCAATTACATTAAAACTTCTTCAAACACAATCTTCAATTTGAATAAAATGATTAAAAGTATTTTAAAGTAAAAGAAAACATTTTAATGAATAAGAATGTTCAACACATAGCCTCCCTTTGTGTGGCAAGCAGGAGAGGAAAATAAATGTTGTTATTTCAATACTTTTTGGACTTTACAACAGAGTTATTGGAAATCTTTGAAACAATCCTATGCAGCAACCATTATGAATCTCATTCTACAAATAGTATAAAAAGAATAGCGTTTATATCTGTACTGTGCACAAATACATAACATTACACTGGTTAGACGCTTTTATCCAAAGTGACTTGCATACATTAAGTATGGGCAATCCCCAAAGGACCAATTTGGGGTGAAGTGTCTGCAGTGGGGATGGAACCAGTGGTCTCTTCATTTTTCCAGAGCTGCATCTGTAATTATACAAATATAATATATTATTATTATATAATATTTGACTTACTACAACAAAGAAACAAAGACAGAAGAGTTGTTTGTCATCAGAACAGAATAGAAGCTATAGCCTTTTCACGCTCTGTCTCCAAATTTCAAGTCCTTTAAACCAGGGGTTCCCAACCTTTATTGTGCCAAGGACCGGTAGATACATTAAAAAAAAATCGCGGACCGGTTGTCAATTTTAACTGATTTTAATATTTACTCACCACCAGCAGGTAGCAACAGAGGCTAATTGTATGTAACAGCCTGAACAAATACTAGAACAATATGCATCCAAAACATATTAACAAAGTTTAAAAAAGAACCGGTGTTGTTTTTTTTTAATCCAGTGAATGCTGGGAAAACGAGGAGAAGGTGCATTATGAAGGAGATGTCCGGTCGCCAGGGTGTGTGTGTGTGTGTGTGTGTGTGTGTGTGTGTGTGTGTGTGTGTGTGTGCGTGTGTGTGTGTGTGTGTGTGTGTGTGTGTGTGTGTGTGTGTGTGTGTGTGTGTGTGTGTGTGTGTGTGTGTGTGTGTGTGTGACACTGGCATTTATTTTCAGAAGATATTATGATAGTGTCGTTCGTTCCGGTGCACTCCCGACAGTTTAGCACTACATCGAGATTAAGATTAAACTAATTTATTTTGGGAACAGCCGCATATATGCCGGTGTCGGACAGACACAAACACACCGAACACATAGCTGAGCTGAGCAGAGCACATACACACACATGCGTCTTGGTGACTGACTGGACATCTCCTTCATAAAACTAATAAAAGGGGGAGTAATCGGGCAGTTCGATGTGTGTAGATGTGTGTGTGGTTAACACGTAGCAGCCTGCAGTCACTCTTAAACTGTTCTGATTAAGTTAAACACAGCGAAGGCGGTGCGTAAAAAGGCACAGCTCTTTACCGAGTACGTCCCGCTGCCTCCTGATGCTGCAGCCAAATCATGAAGTGAAGGAGGGTTTCCTTCTATAAAACAGCTGCGGGCAGCAGATACCGTGAGAGTCCCGGTCATTAATTCATAGATCAAGGCAGACTGGTTTACTCTCCTATTTTGCCAATCCGGTGCTTAAACAAATAGCTCCCTCTACACCCCTGGCCCACCTTAAAATGAAGTCCGAGTTTGAAATATATCTCAAATAATGTATGCACCACCATTTCCCCACATAAACATAACAGTCTGCAATCAAACGGTTGTCTCCTGTGCGCTCCTCTTCCTACTTGGCGCACCGGTAACATGCTCGTGCGCACAAGAGGCTGAGACCTTAGGCTGAGCCGCCGAATCCCTCGGAACATCATAAAAGCCATTTTCAACGGTTTTCTGGTGTAAGATTAACTAGCTACTGGATGAAATAATATGACTGGTGGCATATGTGCGAAAATTAAACACTTTTTGAAAAAAATATTATGATAAAATATTTTTATATATTTATAATTCTGCAAATATTACGATAAACTCACAGCTATTTCGCGGCCCGGCAGTAACACCTCCGCGGCCCGGTACCGGTCCGCGGACCGGGGGTTGGGAACCCCTGCTTTAAACAACATTTCTTTGTTTGATTAAGAATTTGAGAATCAGTGTTATCAGAATTTCTTTATTCGTCCCACAGAGGGAAAAAGTACATTGTTACAGCAGCATAGATAGACGAAAAAAATAAATAACACACTTCTAGATAAAAAGGCATGCACATAGTATTCAAAATAAAATAATAAAACATTACAATTTACAAATAAATACTGTATGTAGCAGCAGTATTTATAAAATAAAATAAGTGTAACATTATAGAATGAAGTGTGGTGGCAGGTAGAGAACAGTAGTACAATTTTTGTATATATATATATATATGTACATTATAGCATACAGATTCTTGTTGGAATGGACAAATGAAGAAGTAGCAGCCAGTAGAAATAATAATATTAGCTAGGAACATATTGCAAATATGTGTTAACGTATTGGGCCATAGGGGTTATACAGCCTGACCGCTGCAGGGAGGAAGGACCTGCGGATACAACTTTTAACTGTTTGGGACAGTCCTAGTTTGTTTTAGTTGATTTTTTTTGATAAAATAGAACAAATACTTGAAAACTCACATATGGTGGCAGAAATGTAGGGATCCATAACAGGAGAATGTTGGGGTTAGTTAGTAGTTAGTGCCTTTCTTTTCTAAGTATATAGACTTAAATGTCCATAGATGTGCAGGACATCAGCTCATCTCCCAGCCTGTGACACTGGCTGCTTTCTTATTAGTGCGAATGCTGTTTACTATAGTTCTTCAAATCTTTATTATTTCACCAAATAGTTTGGCACTCAATAACTTCAGCATACTTTCAGCTACAGAAACCATTCAAATATCAAACTATTCAGCCTTTTCAGCACATGATGGGAAACTTTCAACTTTTTCAAAATATTTTATACTTTCTGAAATATTCAGCTTTTTAAAGTCTTTTTTTAACATGGAACTCAATGGGAGGAACCTTCAAATCCTCTTTTACCTACACCTTGCGCCAAATGCTACTCCTTCCACATACTTTCAGCTAGAGACTTCATTCCAACTTTAAAATGATCACAAGACCCTCAGCTATAAAACTTGAATTTTGATATCTATCTTTTACAGTCTTTGACTTATCAACGTTTAAGTTTTGGTACATTTTCAGGCCGTTTTCGATTTTATAATGGGTGTCTATGGGAGGGACTCTTCAGGGCTAGAGTACGTGACATCATCACTTAGAGTGTAGAGCAGGGGTGCCCAACCTTTTTTGAACCAAGAGCTACTTTTAAAGTTGCCAGTCTGCCGAGATCTACCAGTCCAAATAGAGAGGGGGGGGGGGGCTGGGGTGCTAGCGAACTGTCAACTGGGGGGGAGCCTCGCTGCGTGGAAACGGCGGACCTCTGTCGGTGCAACTTCAATGATGCCTTTTTAAAAACATAAAAAATGAAGGGCGGTGACGGCCGTCAGCGAATCGAGCCGGCCCTTGACGACCGGCTGTTCTGTGATTCTACAGATTCTACAGATGGCCAGTCCGCGGAGGGTGGAAAATAAATACCGGAAGTAAAAAAAAGACGTGCAACGGGACAATGTTCCCACGGGAAACAAAACTTAAAATATTAAATGAAACAATCTCATCTCTTAAAATTCACAACTTATTATGAATTAAACATTCACAAACTTATAATTATGTATTCACATGTTTAACTCTGTTATGCACGCAACGAACAGAAGAGCGTAGGGCAGAATTAGGAGGGAATTCCGTCTCGTAGCGTGTGCACCGTTTTGAAATGCCGATCTATATTACCCTTCTTCGGTAAAGCCACGCTCGCACTAGTTAAATTTGTCCGGAACTTTCTTCAGAACAGAGAGAAGTAAACTTTAGACAAACTGCTCCTATCTTCACATTTTACACACAAAACCCCCAAAAAAACATATATCAGTTCATTGGGGTTCCCTGATGCTCACCTTCTGGTCAAGAGCCATAGTTTTTGAACAGGTGGTAAAATTGTCAGATATAATCCTCAATGCATTCTTAATGGGACTCAGTGCTGCAGTTGGTAACCATGGTGTTGCGGGGCAGATTGAAACCTTTGATCTCTGGGCTCACACAGGTGTTATGATTATTTGTTATGATTAGGTGCTCAGCACAGAAACAAACACTGACAAACAGACTGGACTTTAACAGACTGTCTCAGCCTATTATTTTCTGTCTGATGGAGACTTCATACTGATTCAACATGTTCCACATATTTTATACTTTATTGGTGACGTATGGTTTTAGTCGAAAAGTTTGTAGTCAAAATATTCTGCTGCTTTCCCAAGCCTTTTTACTTTCTTTTCTCTTCTTAATAATACACATTCATTCACTACTACTTACATCTGATATGTAACTCCTTCAGCCTACTTTCAGCTACAGAAACCATTCAACTATTACATTATTCAGCTATTTCAGGACATTGAGGCTATACATGTTGTTGTTTATACCTTTTTTAAACCTTTTCTTTTAAATATTAAGCTTCTTCACTATTTTTCCTAATCTTCCAGTTTAACATTTCACTTTCAAGTTTTCAACAAAGTCATTGCAATGCATTTGAGCTGTAACAATTTTGATTCAAATCATTTCACTTTTCTGCATTTCTCCGCTAAGTTCAGCAACACACATACTTGGTTTTTGTAGCTAAAAGCAGCTACAGAGACCATTCAACTAATAAAATATTCATCTTTTTCTGCATTTTCAGCTAAATTCAGCCACAAATGTTCACAGTTTACAGCATTCGCACGCATTTTCTGCAGGAAATGCATTTTTTAGTTCTTCTTGAAACCCTTGGGCAAGACACTCAGCTTTTCAGCATACAGCATTCACACAGCAATTTATTCAGGATTGCATTGT